GCTCGACTTGAATTCGAACACGCAGTCCAAGGAATCAACACGAATAAATTTGCAAGAATATTTGCAAAAAACTTTATTGCCGTGAAAAGTCAACAGAGAAAAAAGAAAAATTTCGCTCAAACTGCAATTTGTAAAAATTTTAATAAACCCTTTACAGCTAAAGTTCATAGAATAGAAAACATTTTTCTTACAGTATGGAACGGTGAAATCGTGAGAAAAAAAAAGTTCGGCTATGTCAAATATGAATAAAAATTTCGGAACGAAAAATCGACTTGGCATTGGCCATTTTCCATTTTTAAAACAAAAACAAAATGGACAAGAAAAACAATTGAAAAACTTGAATTCGACTTCGTTTTGAAAATACCTTCAATTTTCCTCCATCGTGTTTTTCAAAATATATTTCGTCACACAGTCCAAAAATTTCGGGAATAACTTTGAAGGCATTTGCTAAGCATTTTTCTTTTAATTTAAAAAATGAGATGCAATTGAATTAACCAGTATCAAGTCCACTTTCCCTTTAAAAGTTCGACTGGAATTTCAGGAATTCTACAAATAAATATTCCGAATGAAAGTATTTTTTCTAAAAATAGAACGTCAGCTTGAATTTATTACCCATTAATCATCAAAATATACCGACAAATGAATTCGAAAAAAAGAAAGAATTCGAGGCCCACTTTTCGCAGCACCCAGTGATCAGTCAACCATTTACACGCCAAATGTTCAACGCATACGCTCGAGATTTCGCATCTCTCGAAAACATGATTTATGTACTCTGCAGGACTATAGTGAAAAAGCAGATTTTTTTTACAAGACAGGAAAAAACAATATAAATTACTGCACATCATTCAGAAAAGAAAAGGTCTTTTTCTCGTTTAAAAAAACACCTCCCGAGAAAATTCCCGTTTTCTCGCAGCTGAAATTATCTTCCACGAAATTCATCATTTCCTTTCCTTAATTCAATCTTTACGAAGGGTTAGTAAAAAGAAAAGAAAAAAAAACGACTTGAACAAACTGTCGTCGTCGATAAAAAAATACGATTCAGTGCTTCATGTACGGAGCATCAATTGAAAAACAAAATCCAACCTTCCAATTTTAAATCGATCTTTGATTCATAAAAAATGTTAAGCCTCTCAGTACAATGCTAAAAATTGAAAATAACTGGACTTTTTATGAACTGGAAAGATCAATTCAATGTATTCAAATACAGTAGAATCTCATTACAACAAACTCCCAGGGACTAGAAAAAAATTCGTTGTAATGAAAAATTAGTTATATCAAGACTGATGGATTTATTAACAGAAATACACTTCATCATCCGTAAAAGCATTTTAGTGTCAAAAGAACTGTAGTTGTTTTTTCTCTCTGCAATATCTGTGCCAATAAATGTCTCTCACAAAATGGTTACATTTGAAAATGAATTTAAAAAATTTGGAAAAATAACTCAACACAGAAGAGCATTGGAAAAAAAAAAAAACAGATTATCACAGATTTTGGTGGATGGCTAGCTAGACACTGTGCTTCCAGACTACTGAGATGTTGGATTACATGGATATTAAATTAATCATGATACATTTATTTTATGGGCTTCATAAATTAATTGATTACTTTTCCGATTGAATTCAAGACTCATGATCAAGAATAAAATACGTCACTTTCAATATCGAAGATGACGCATTTTCTGAAACTTTTTTTTGTACTCAGAATTCTGAAACTTCCAATAATGTAATTCGGAATGCAATAAAAAGCGACATAACGCATGCGATGAAATGAAAATTACTCCGCGCATGCTTTCATTTTCCAATAGAACCAAATTAAAAAAAAAACACACACACACACAGAATTTCAAATGCAGAAGACTTTTAAACTATTATGGCAAAAACAAAACAAAAAAGTGTCTCGCATCTCTTCTTCATTTCAAAAACACAGAAACCGGGTCAACTCTCCCAAAACTTGGTGGCGAAGAGAAAATTCCATTCAATCGTGACGCTCATCAAGCCCTCCTGTTTTTTCCCACATCAGTCCGAAAAAAAAAACCGCGGACCGCATATCCGACAAACATAGGCACAACGACCGCGATGAATTTCTTTTTCTAGGTCACCCCGACAATATTTGCCGATTTTCAACACTAAACTGGGAGCAATATTTCAACTAGGAAAGAGAGGATTGAGGGGAGGTAGGAAATGCAGATTACACACACACACACAGACGCTGTGCCACAAAAAAAGAACAAATTTCTCAGTTTCGAATGACTACGACACGTGGTGTAGTAGAAGTAACACAGACAAACTCCCTTCATTTCTCCTGACCTGATGGTGATTAGGAAAAAGACGACCCGGATCAATTCACGGTCAAAACTCAAATATATTCTGCAGTGATTATACGTTTAAAAGTGTACACAACGAAAATCTCTTCAAAACGAGTTTTTTCTGGTCCCCTAGATTTCAAAGATTAAATTTGTTTGCCCCACATATGGGACTAAGAAAATTCGGTATTTTCCTGTTATCTCAGTACCTCATTCCAAGACCACACTACCATCCAGACAAATCTTTAGGACAAGTTCATAATCAAAACAACCTACCAGAAACTGCAAATTTTATTTTTCCGCATTCTGCTGAAACTGATTTTGGGAGGCGGTTAGGTAAAGTTAGGTTAGGTCGGGTTATGTTAGTTATAAATATCTTTTAATTAACATAACCTGAACTAACCTAACTTTACCTAACCGCCTCCCAAAATCAGTTTCAGCAGAAACCCAAAGAAAGCAGAANACCTAACTTTACCTAACCGCCTCCCAAAATCAGTTTCAGCAGAAACCCAAAGAAAGCAGAAGCTGATTTTGGGAGGCAGTTAGGTGAAGTTAGGTCAGGTCAGGTTCAATTGGTCAGAGGGAAGGTACAGAGATAACAGAAAAGGAGGTACTGAGATAACAGGAAAGTACCAAAAATTCTCAATATACAAAAAATTATTTTCTGGTCCCCGGAATTTTCAAAGTACAGTAATCCCCACATGCGGACACCTTGACATGGGGAAAATTCAACGAAGGGACATTTACTTTTCAATTAAAAAAAATAAAAAGACATGACATATGGACACTGACTCAACATGAGGACATTGCATGATGAAATTGCCAATAAGTTTTAGGAAAATTGATTTTTATTAGGCTTAATTACAAGAAACACATATTTCAGACCCTGAGATTCATGCAAAAATAATTCTTTGGTACTTTTCCCATCTATTCAGCTAATTAAAAAAATTACCTATAACACAGATGGACTTCCCTCTCTCTTTGTGACTTGGATGTTATTTTTACAGATGCCAACATTTCAATGAACTGTACAGCAGTATACTATTCAATGCTCCAAATGTTCTTATTGGGCTGAAAAGATATTCACAGAATCAAATTCAAGTGGCAAAAATTTTTTTTTTCATGAAATTCTGAAGAATATTTCTTCCATAAAACACCAATTAAAACTTATATAAAGTAAGTCTATGGGAAAACAAGACTCAACTTAGGGACACTCTTGATGCACCAATTATGTCTGCAACTGGGGGTCTCACTGTACAGAAAAGTCCACCCTTATACAGTACAGTACAGTTGAACCTGGATACCTTGAACCTCTTCAAGCCAAATTTTGTTTATGGTCCCCATCCAAATCCCTCAGAAGCAATGCATTAAAAGCCTCTCCAAGTCAAAGGCTTTTTCCTCTCAAACCTCCTCAACTCAAATTTTCTGAGGCCTTTTGGCTATTATTTTTCTTGACACAGGAAAGAGAAAAGCAATAAAATAAAATAACTTGATGCGTTTTGAAAGGAAGTGAAAGACTAATTGGGCAAATGACCC